GTGACACTGTAGTTTTGTATACACACTTTAGAATAACTTAACTTTTTAACCAGTGACACAGTAGTTTTGTATGTACATTTTAGAATAACTCAACTTTTTTAACCAGTGACACAGAAGTTTTGTATACACACTTTAGAATAACTTAACTTTTTTTAACCAGTGACACAGTAGTTTCGTATACACACTTTAGGAGCCCGGCATGGCCAGGTGGTTAAGGCACTCAACTCGCAATCTGAGGATCGCGGGTTCGAATCCCTGTCACACCAAACATGCTCACCCTTTAAGCCATGGGGGCATTATAATGTGACGGTCAAACCCATTATTCATTGGTAAAAGAGTAGCCCAAGAGTTGGCGGTGGGTGGTGATGACTAGCTGCCCTACCTCTAGTCTTACACTGCTAAATTAGGGACGGCTAGCGCAGATAGCCCTTGTGTAGCTTTGCGTGAAAATTCAAAACAAACAAAAAAAAAACAATACACACTTTAGAATAACTTAGTTTTTTTAACCAGTGACACAGTAGTTTTGTATACACACTTTACAATAACTTAAGTTTTTTAACCAGTGACACTGTAGTTTCGTATACACACTTTAGAATAACTTAACTTTTTTAACCAGTGACACAGTAGTTTTGTAATTTTGTACAACCATCATGTCTAAGCCTAAACTTTAATGTAACTCAACAGTCATGTGATATTGGATGTACAATATGTTTATTGTTGATTAGTATATGACATAGAGTTACATAAATAATTGTTAACGTGTGACACTCAGGTACACTGAGGTGCAGTTTAGAAACACTCAACACATCAGGAACAAAACAGGTTAACATACATAGGTAACAGTGTCCTATAATTTGATGGTCTTCGTCGCTCAACACGTGAATGTCACTTGTCCAGTGTGCATTAATTTTCCTTTGTAACATGTCTTATGTATCAGTAAACAGTTCCTAACATTTTATTATGCTTCTTCATTACATTGAGCTAGTCAAGTCTATAGTAGACAACCTAGTGGGCAAACAGGGAAAGCTTTTGGCACTCTATAAAAGAATCATCACACAGTATTTTGAATGATGTACCAAACTTACCAAATAGTCACTACTGAATGCCACCTTCTAACTTTAATTTATTCTCATGAAAAATTAAAACTTTTGCACCACTAAACTATATGCACTGTGTGGCACTGTCTAATGCAGGAAAGTATTGATTACAGGGGTAAATTTTATAAGAATCGTTGACTTAAGTTTAAAATTCTACAGAATAGCAGATGGTTCTTCATGTTGTTGTTTTTTGTAATTAAGTTATTATTTCTTTAAATATTATCTACCTTTCTTGTTTGTTTTAAACAGCTCACCTGGCCATATCACAGAATTGGTTTCCTTTCCTACTTTGCTGAACAGATATAGTTTTGATCCATTTTTCTTCACTTAGGATACGAGACTTTTCACGATAGAAATGAATAAAAACCCTATAGCCCGAACACTTTCAAAAGTGCTCGGGTTATAGGGTTTGTATTCATTTCTATCAACACTTCTTGAACCTACATGTTTTTCTAACATCATGAATGAGACTTTTCACAATATTACACACAATTTAGCATCCTCGAAAAAATATTCAAAACAACTTAGCTGAAATAGAAGGGCTGATGTTTGTTAACATTTAAAAATAATTATTACTTTTTGCTAAACCTACAATTACAACCAGATTCAGACCGAATATTTGTTTTCAATACTATGTACATAGAATAAGAGACCAAAGAACAATTCTTTAATGTTTATTATAAGTGTGCCAAACTCAACATCACTCTAAATATTAAGCTGTGTTGGGACACTTACTTAAACATTGAACCCAATCCTTTCAATAACCTTTTCTTCTTAGAAAGTCTATAATCAGGACTAATGACATCATCTGGAGTACGGTCACTACTGACTGGCGGACGGTTTAAAACTGCTGCCAGGGGTGAACATCCATAACTTTCAACACTGAATAGGCTACCATTTTCACTTTCTTCGTATATCATGAAAAAAAAAAATAAAGTTCAATGACATTTTATCACACTCATTGTCATGACCAGCATAAACTTAAGAACAGATACATATCAGAAAAGTTGATATAAGGTTTATACTTCATATCTTGGTACTTTAACCCTCTATTGTTTTAATATTTGGAGCACATTTAACTAGTATTCCATTATTTTCAATCTATTCAATATTCAAACATACATGACATTCAAGTTAGGGTTAAGCAACTTAAAAACTTGGTAATTTATCCCTCTATTGTTTTAATTTTTGGAGCATATGTTTGTTTGTTTTTTTTATTTATGAACAAAGCTACACAAGGGCTATCTGTACTCTGCCCACCACGGGTATCGAAACCCGGTTTCTAGCGTTGTAAGTCCGCAGACATACCGCTGTGCCACTGGGGGGCGGAGCATATGTAACTGCTGTTCCAGGATGTGATTCATTTTAATAAAATACCATTGCTTTCAATCTATTCAATATTAAAACATACCTGACATTCAAGTTAGGGTTCAGCAACTTAAAAACATGGTAATGAATACATTAGTATTTAGGATTTCACATTGTTTTTATGTAATTAAATAGTGAATGATTTAAAAAACTCATTGCTTTTTTGTCAGTGCTGAGGAACTCGTAAAGGTTCAAAGAGAAATTATAAATCTAAAACTTCAGGAGTGTAAGAGCTGTATGAAAAAAAAGATGAACTGAAAGTTGATCTTAGAAAAATAAATGAACACAAAATGCCATTTACTACATATTTCTTAAAATCATTTTGTGTGTCAGTAAATGCCCAATATATTTTATTTGTATGTTTCTTCATCTGTTCCAAGATATAATCTGAAAATAACTTTGTTTAATCCTGCTGGCTTTATGTGACCATTATATGCTTTTAATTAACAGTATGTTAATGATGATGTAGGGGTAGAGAAAAATAGTTGCTTTTGTTTGTCATGCTTAGAAATGTTCAAAGTTGCATCTTATTGACCAATCAAGGGATGATGAAATAGAATAAAAACCAACGAGAGCCTGGTAACAGTGAAAATTGTACTTGCTAGGGTCTTTGGTTGCAAAGATGAGCTAATGTTTTTGAGACTTAAGTTTTATATTGTACACATCTCCTAAGAGTTTAGCAGTTATCTGATTATGTAGAGTTCTAACTATAATCAGTTAATATATAATACATAACGCTTTTCTGTATGTGTACAGACATTTTTTCTTTAAGTAAGTGTGTATTTTTTTAATGCTTCAAACTTGGTTCTTTCTTCTTAATTGTGATAAAGGAATTTGGCTGTGGATAACCTAAAGATTGTTTTGGTAAATAACTGTAATACAATGTTCTATTTTACTTTAGTAATATGGTTTTATTTTGTTAAGTGATAACACTTAAAGGTTAAATCTAATTGTTTTTGTCTACTGTTCTACTTTTCAAAATAGTGTTCATTATAAATTAAAAGACCAAATTGTGTCCTAGACTTGATAACTTTTGCTACAGACACAGATTTAAGTTTAACTGATGCTTGACTGGAAGCTTCTTTCTTATTGGGTGGATATCTTTGATGTTCTGTGATAGGCACTTGTATGCTTGTCAGTTTAACAGACACACACAAATAAAATAATATTAGGAAAGCATAATTAGATGAAAAAAAAGTTGTTTATTATGTTAAACACTTTAAGGCAAATTCTGAAAACAAAACTTACGATTATTCATTTCAAGAGCTACTTCAGACGACCGACAGGCTGTGGAAAAACGTTCTTGACCATCAATGTTTTTAACAGCAGCAGAGCTGTCTTTCTTCAGCTCTGGAACAACATTCTCAATGCTTTCTAAACTACTTGACTTCTTCAAAGGCTTAACTTCTAGAGGCATCTTTTGAATATTCCCATTTTCTTTTGCTATGGATATTTGTGAAAAAACAAATCAATAAGGTAAGTTATGTACTAAAAATATAATTTTCAACTGACATATATAATTCTACAGAAACTGGTGTTGTCACAATTAACATATGTAAATTATTATTTATGTGTTCATTATAACAATAATCTAAGCATCAGAAGATTAGAAAAAGTTAAGTTATTCTAAAGTGTGTAAACAAAACTACTCTGTTACTGGTTAAAAAGTTAAGATATTGTAAAGTGTGTAGTATGTAACTCTATGTCATATACTAATCAACAATAAACATATTGTACATCCAATATCACATGACTGTTGAGTTAATTTATGTAACTCTATGTCATATACTAATCAACAATAAACATATTGTACATCCAATATCACATGACTGTTGAGTTAATTTATGTAACTCTATGTCATATACTAATCAACAATAAACATATTGTACATCCAATATCACATGACTGTTGAGTTAATTTATGTAACTCTATGTCATATACTAATCAACAATAAACATATTGTACATCCAATATCACATGACTGTTGAGTTAATTTATGTAACTCTATGTCA